AGTCTTAAATGATTGTTGTTGTTGTTGTCGTCGTCGTCGTCGTTTGTGTGGTTTTTTTCCCCATTTTGGCACCGTTTCCCCCCCGGTTCCGTCGCGGTTGTTGTTTCCGGCTCTGGTTCCGATTCCGATCCCAGGTTTTTGTTTGTTCAATTTCGGAGATTTCGTTGTTGCCGTTTTCAGTATCACAGATTACGTTTTTTTTTTTTTGTTTCGGATTGTTCTCGGACGATGATATTTTGTCTACAGCGTTGTTGAACGCTGTCAGAGCGTTCCGGAGTGTTTTGAGAAGGCCGCGGCGGCCAATACATTTTCCAGGATCGTTGGATCTCAGAGATTCCCGATTCATCCTCACCCAGTGTTTTCCTCGTCTTGGTGCCGTTTTACGCTTAGGAGCAATAGCAATTTGGCCCAGCTGGCTCCAAGAACCATGGCTGTTTCGCCCCCTCTTGAGGTTCGCGCCGACCCGACACGGTGGCGTCGCCAGCGGAGGATGCCAGGGCGCCCCCTAGCGCGGCCAGATTTGTAGCGTCTGGAAAATATCGAGATGGCGGATGTTCTGCAGTTTGGTTTTGGAGATTGGCTTTGCATCGCTCGGACGTGTGCGTGCTTCCTTGGCAAAGACCATCGAGGAGCATGTTGGATCATCGTGCGAAAAAATTCACGAAACCGAAACACGCACGGGGAATGGACGCCCGAGCGATGGCAACGATGGCGAAGTTTCTGCCGTTTTTGTTGCTGGAGATGTGGTGGGGCCAGTTTGGACCCAGGGGGCGCGAGACATGCCTCCGGTTGAAGCACGTTATGCGGCCCGCGGCAGGTTCGCGCCGCTCCGGCGCGACTTGCGGCGGCGCGGGCACGCACGGGCGAACAACTTTTCCGAAATGTCAGCTCGGGATAAACAGTAGGGTGACCCCCCTGGGACCTATTAGCAGATTCCGCGGGGCGCGATCCATTTTTTGAATCACGCGCGTCAGGGGGTCGTCGCGGGCGCCGCCGAGGGGATCGTCCACCTGCACGACAGCCTTAAAAAAATGCCTTTCGTGTGGGAGTTGTTCTGTGGATCATATTCATCCGAAGCGACGTTCAATCCCTTCTCAGGCTGAGGACTGACGTGCCGCAGTTGTCGCCGTCGTTGTTCCCGTCGTCATCGTCGTGGTGGTGGTCGTCGTCGCCTTCGGCGTCGTCGACCACAAACGGCCCGCGCAACCCCCCCCTCAATGGGGCATCCGCAGTGCATCGTCGTCGCCGCCGTCGTCGTCGCGTTGTCGACGTCGTTGTCGCCGTCGTCGTTGTCGCCGTCGTCGTCGTCGTCGACTACAGTGGGCCTGCGCAGCACCCCCTCTGTCCACAGGGCATCCGCAATGCGTCGTCGTCAGTTGTCCGTCGTCCTCGTCCTCCTCGTCGACCTCGTCCTCGTCCTCGTCATCGCCGTCGTCGATCACAGCGGGCCTAGTCGTCGTCGTCGACGACCACAGCGGGCTTGCGCAGCGCGTGCCCCCCTAAAGCGGCATTCGCAGTGCGTCGTCGCCATCGTCGTCCTCGACCTGTTCTTCGTCGTTGCCGTCGATTGCAGCAGCATCACCACCCGTCTAGGGCATCCGCAGTGAATCGTCGTCCGTCGTCGTCGTCGTCGTCGTCGCCGTCGCCGTCGTCGTCGTCGTCGTCGTCGTCGTCGTCGTCGTCGTCGTCGTCGTCGTCGTTGTCTTCGTCTTCAGCGGGCGTACGCAGCCCCCCCTTGGAGCATCCGCAGTGCGTCGTCGTTCGCCGACGCCGTCGCCGACGTCGTCGTCGTCGTAGGACGTTGCACTGAACGGGGATGTAAGGGAGAAGGAGGAGGAGGAACCCTTTCCGCTTGCCTCCTCCGCTTGTAGCCACGTCGCCACCGCCCGCCACCGGCGCCGTTTCTCCCCCGTTTTTTACTGTCTGTAGCTAGTTTGGCCCAACCGCCCTGGTATATCGGATTCGTTGATGCCCCCTTTCCGCTGACGCGTCGCCAGTTGTGTCGCGCCTGTCGCCCTCTCGCTGTCGGCCGGGCGTCGGCGCTAATCACGGGCGCCGCCGCCGCGTGTTTCAGTTTAGCGGGCACCACCCCCGCGATTCGCCTGAGCAGGGAAACCATTCTTGAATCACACGCCCCGCCGCGTGCTTCTCTCAACCACGAACTGACATTAAAGCTCCCCGAGGCCCGCAGAAAACAGCCCGGGCGCGAAAACCTCACGAATGGTGGGGGTCGGCAGCCTCTGGGGACCTCCGAGAGCGGAGCCCGTTCGAGGTCGAGCGGCGGCGTCAAAAAAACAGATCCCGCGTCGTCACGACGTGAATCCCGGCCACGCGCGGAGGGGGTAAGGGGGGGTAGGGCTCGTTAGAAAGACCCCTGTTTCTTAGAAGGCGCGGGGCTGAGGAGGAGGAGGAGGAGGAGGAGGAGGTTGTAGTACCAGCCCGATTCACCGCCGAGAAACAATGGGGGGGACCAAGAGTAAAGACCTTTAGCGGTTAGATTAAGACCCGCGCCTTTCAAGAAACGCCCTCGTTCTAAGAAGTTGCCCCCTTTTCCCTTACCCCCATGTGCGCGCCGCCAATGCATGTCGCTTTACGTATGCCAGGTGCCTTCTCTCTTTCTCTCCCCCTTTCAGGGGGACCCACGTACACTTTATATCATAAGGTCATGTTCGTTCACTGCTGTTCGAGCCCGGTCGTCCCCATGGCCCGCGATCAATGCATGGGCGTCTTTCTCATACATTGTTCGCCGCACGCAAAAGGACTCGTCGACAGCGGGCCACGTGCGTCCCCAGGCCGCCCACACGGGGCCGGCGCAGATGGGTTTGGAGGATTGGGCCACATGGCTGATGCATCGGCGACGCGCCACTTTCAGTCAAGGGAGAAACAACCACCCGGACCAGACAATGGCGTTTATGAAACAGCCTTGGGCGTTTAGTAAACAGCCCTGCTTTGTTTGATTCCTTCTTTAGGTGCGCTTACTGAACGGCTTCGCGTGTCGGGGTGGTTATTATCGGAGTGGATGTTCTGTTCTCTATTCTGGACGTTTGTGTCCATCCCGACATCGCCGACGCGTAGCGGATGCAGTTCCCGACTCGTCTAGTCCCTTTTTCGCGGGACGTGTTGGTTGATGCTGCGGAGCCGCGGTCATTTGAGTTTGGCACGCGTTTGTTTGCGGTTCTTCCGCATTCGTTGCGCAGACTCTCTTCTGCTAGCATGACATCCGCCCTCCCCCCCTCCCCCCCCCACACTCACAGCACCCCCAATGGATGTCCAACATGTAGTAGGGTGTATATATACACATATATATAGAGAGAAATAAAGAAATACAGGAACAACAAGATAATACACATATAACAAAGATAAATAAAGCGAGAAAAAAAAACGATAACGAGAGAGACAGAGAGAGAGAGGACAAGAAGGAGAAGAAGGAGGATGAGATGGACAGATAGGAGGTGGGAAAAAGGAGGGGGAGGCAGGACGAGGAGGTCGGAGGCCCTGCTCCCCCAGGGTGGGCGAGCATGGCCTTGGTCAGGAGGACGGAAAGACGACAGGGCTATGGTCAGCAGGAGGAGTTGTAGCCCCCTCCTCCTCCTCCTCCCCCTCCTCCTCCTCCTCCTCCTCCTCCCCCTCCTCCTCCTCCTCCTCCTCCTCCTCCTCCTCTCTCAGAGGCCCACCGTCCGGCACCTTTGGAGGGCACCTCTTGCGCTCCATTTTCGCTGGGCAGCAGCTAGGTGATGTCTCCGAGCCGCGTCTCGCAAGCCGAGCGTAACCCCTAGGCGGCAGCGTGATGCACGGTCGGCTTTGTCGGGTAAGGACGATCGGCTTCCCAAGGGTGACCCCCTTGCAGCCTTGCCTCTTCCGTCACCTCCGGTCCATCCTCGACCACTTTGATGGCCAGCCCCTGCTCCAGAAGCCTTGACAGGTGACATAGGCGTCTGAGGGGCCTGCATCCTCCCGTAGACGCGCTGACGGCAATGTAAGTAACGGCGATGTAGGTTTCGGCATTGCAGGCGGGACTGGTGCGTGGCTAAACCAACTAACCAATTGTAGAACATCGTGGTTCGCGCTTTCCTACGATTCGCTGCGTCGTTTTCGCTCGATACATTCGCACAGTTGAAGTGTGGGAAAGTGTGGTTCGCGATTTCCTGCAACTTGTTATGCGTAAGCTCGGTGTCACAAAAATCAGGCTCCCAACATCGCCGTGAACCAACATCGCCGTCAGCGCGGCCCTGGTCCTCATCGCGCATCCTTACTACCAGTTCTGACTGCAGGTGACGCCTCCACGGCGTGCCTCGCAAGCACCGGCCGTCGCCCCCTCGGCGGCAGCGCTGGCGCGTCCCACGCGGCGGCGCGCGATCGGCCCAGGCCTGTGGAGGTGTGCCGTCTCGCACGGGTAGCTTCGCGTCCCCTGCCGCGGTCTCGTCCTGCACGGGAGGGCGCCTTTTCCTCGGCGGCGAGCGGAGGGGCGGAAGTCAGGAGGAGACGACCCTCAGAAGACGGGGGGACTTTTCAGAGGCCCTCGCGCCTGCTGGTATGAGTGGTTTGCGTCTTCGGGGAGGGCGCAGAAAGCTCTTCGGAAGGCCGTGGGACTCCCGAGCCGTCTGTGGAGGCCTTCTCCTCACGCTCCCCCCTCGGTCGCCGCCGACTCCCCGCTCCTCACATCTCACCTCCTCGACGCTCGAGGGTCGAGGATCGAGCTTTCCCCAGCCATCCTGTGATGTTGGGTCTTCGTTTTGAAGAGACAGCGCCCCGCGCGCCTCATCTCTCCTGCCCCGCCTCCCTCCCTCCTCCCCTCCCCGTTTCTGCCCTCCACATGTCGACCATTCCGGTACCATGTCGGCGCACCTCTGACCTTCTTCGTGGCCCCTCGACGCTCGAAGATCGATGATCGAGTGTTTGCTGAGCAGGTTTGGCAGCTCTCTGGCGCTCTGCAAGCATCCGGAGATATCCTGTGAGCCGAACGCACGGATACAACGATAGTGAAGAGGCGCCGCCGGGAGGTCGGTCTTTTCTTGGCCACCTTCATCGCGACCTTGCATACATGCCAGGCCGCAGCATTGCCGTCTCATCAGCGGAAGAGGGCAGCGTGAACGTGGTGCCCGGGCGTCGAGTGCATTTCAAACCGTGTTTGGAGTATTTTTTGGACCATGCGTATGCCGTATGCGTACTTACCCCGTTATCGCGTTCTGAATGAGTGTCGCATCATTGCTCTGCGTGTCCTCGACTTCAGGCCGTACTCGGTCATGGTAGCTTGGGACACGCAGGAAGTCACGGTCGCGCGAGAGAGCCCTCGGATACGACGTGCTGTCGGCTCGCTCGCCAGGTTGTGTTCGGACGCATTGAGTTGGTAGTCAGCAGTATGTGTTCGCAAGCGCTGAGTGTCAATTTGGCATGATCGAATTGCACATGCCCCTAATGGTCGAGATTTCCATGCCGATCTTGTATCAGTTTTAGGGAGCAGGCCTGAGTGCCAGTGCGTAACAGCTTTGTATCAGATTCCACATCATTTGCATTTCATCTCGTTTGCCGCGGCTTGTTCCAATCAAGTTACGTCACGCATTTCTTCAGGCGCAAATCATGAGCGTCGACTTGGGGCATGAGTTTTTCAAGGCGGCCACAACCCCGTCTTGCTTCTTTATTTCAGAGAGGGTGAGTCCTGGTCAGCACGGGAGTGGCGCTGCTGTTGAGGACATACGCAGCAACAAGGTGCGGCAACGCCAGCAACTTGGTTGGGCACATTTGGTCACGAGTGCATACAAATACATGGAAGTGCCTAGCTCACCCAGAGGCGGCGCGGAATACGGCGGCACGATTGGTTGGCAGCAGCGAAGGTGAGGAGAGGGGGGCAGAGGAATGAGGGGAACTAATTGGACAGCAGAGGGAGAAAGGATTACTAATTGGTAGCTGGGGGGAGCTTGAGGGATGGCGAGGAGTTAGAAGAAGGTGTGGGATCAATGGCACCCCGCACTCTCCTGGCAGTGAACGGGGAGAAGGAGAAGACGGGGATGGGGGACGTCCAAAGCGGATTCCCATCAGAAGCCGGCCAGCGGATGTCGGTTGTCCTGTATTCTTCTTGTTGGGGGTCCAGCTTCGAGCCCGCGTTTGGATTTAGGTAGTTTGTGCCCATCCTCAGCCTTGAAACGGATGCTGTTCATTCAGAGTATCCGTTGACGCTGGCATCAGGGGCAACGACAGCGGGGGTGGATAGGCTCAGGGGGAAATGTATCGACCCCCAATCGCCCATTGATCGTCGATTGGTGTTTGCTGGCCCCACCCCGCCCAGGAAGGTGCGGGTTCGCTATCGTGGGCCTATTGCCGATGTATGGGCGATGTCTCGCCAATTCCAGGTCGATGTGTCCCACCCTGGCCTGACCCCCCCCCCGATCGTTGCCCTTCATAGCAGAGCTCTCTCTCTCCTTCTCATTCCGTCTCCTCCTCCTCCTCCACCTCCTCCTCCTCGGCAAGGTCGGTCTGACGTGCCAGGGGCTCTGCCCTTCAACGACTGTTGTCTGTGGTGCATTCTCGACACCGATAGTAAGGATGGGTAGCCTTCCTCGGGCGGAACATGGGGGGTGACCCAAATCGGGGGTGAAGAAAGGGGCCCTAACGGGGCCCATTCAGTGCCCCTTTTGGAGGCATTCGGTAGGTTTTCCTCGTCCTCCCCCCATACGGGCCTTCCCCCATTACCACCCGCCCCACTTCCCAGGGACCCCCTTGCATCCGTGCCTCCTCAGTCCATCCTTGCCCATGTTCGACGGCCCGCCGCGCTCGAAAAAAAGCCTCGGCATAGGTGTCCAAGGCCCTTGCATCCTTATCGCGCAGCCTTGCTATCAGCTTTGACTGCAATGAGGGTTCAAGATACAGAAAACCTCTCATAAGGCGCGAGGCCTTCTGACAAGCTTCGCCGCCTTCTAAGAGGGCCTTCTCCTTCACAGATGCCCCCTGACGCCCAGTCAGGCTGGCAGCGTGCTGCATTATACTCGTCATATTATTTCGTGTTGTTTTTCGCCCCTTGTATGGCATCGCGTGGTCGCCCACGCGCTCAGAGCTGGTCTTCCCAGCTAGCAGCAGCGAGTGCTCTTTCAGTGTCTCTCGTTGCCGCCGCTGCCTTCCTTCTTTTAACACATCGGGTTTATGCCCTAAGAAAATGTGTGATTGTTCTCAGAACAGTTCTGGGTTCTGAGAGCATTTCGTGGTAGGCCTGTGGGAATGCCGGGCCGGCCGGCCCCTGCTCAATTCCCACTTCCCCCCCTCGCTCGCCGCCGATACTCCCCTCCCCCTTCCGCTTCCCGCTCCCCCCCCGCCGTCGCCGCGGAGAGGTCGGTCTGATGCGCCAGGGGCAGCCGCTCGAGATCGTCCTGAACTCCCACTCGAAGCGGAAGACGACCACCGTCGTGTCGTGACCCGGGAGGCGGAGCTCGAGGAGGAGTCGGGAGCCTCGCGACGTGTCTGGTGCTGCCAGAAAGTACCCCTGGCCCAAGGCACCCCCAGGATTCTCGGGGCGGCCCAGACGGCCTCCAGGGGACCCCTCACGAGGCCCAGAGGGCCCCAGAGGCTCCAAAATGCAACGAAAAGCTGGGGGCACCTTGGGCCAGGGGCACTTCTAGACACCCGAACGGGGGTCAGTGCAAAGGGTCAGAGGAGTGCCAGATCTTGCGGGATCCTGCAGAGCCTCCTGCAGAGCCAGGGGTGATTGGCCGGGCCAGCGCGCAGGATCCTGCAGGGTCCTGCAGGACCTCGCAGGATTTTGCAGGGCCCGACCGTCCTGGGTTTGGATTGATCCGGTCAGTAGATAAACGAAGGAGGAGGAGGAGCAGGAGGAGGAAGAGGAGGAGGTCATACGTTAGGACTGCTGTTTGTCTTGCCGCGTCGCCCTCTTGCCATCCCGCATCCCGCTACTTGCCGTGCGCCAGCTACGTAGTCGACTGCCTCTCGGCTCGCAGGGCGCGCGTGGGCCGTGGTGGGGGCAGCACCGCGGCTCTCCTCACTGCCTCACGCCCGCGTGCGCCTGCGGCTTGCCGAAAAGGAGGAGGAGGAGGAGGAGGAGGAGGAGGAGAGCGAGGGTGAGGGAGAAGGGAGGGAGGGAGGGAGGGAGAGAGGGAGGCAGGGAGGGAGGGAGGGGAGGAGGGAGGGAGGGAGGGAGGGAGGGGGGGGAGGGAGTACGGGAGGGAGGGAGGGATAGAGGAGGGAGGAAGGGAGGGAGGGAGGAGGAGGAGTAGAGGAGGAGGAGGAGGAGGAGGAGGAGGAGGAGAAACAGGAGGAGGAGGAGGAGGGCAATGCGATTCCGATGACATTGAACTCGCGATGGACGACGTTGGCATTACTGATGATGATTTGCGCTGCAGTGTACAGGCGTTTTTCGAAGACGTTATTCATTATTGACCAATCGGCCACCAATGCAGCTCTACGTTCTGCTTACTTGGATGCTGTTCAAATGGGTTGTCAACTTCACAAGGATCTGACGGCATAAGTTCATCACGCAAATCGCGAACGCACGCCGCCCTAATCTACTAATGCGGTCAAATGTGCATGCACATTCAACTGCTGTCGTACATGCGTGGCACGCAATCTGCTCTCTTCATCATTGTCCCTTCCTTCTCCTTCGTATGTGTGGTGCGCTCGCGTCACTTTCCTGTTTTTCGTTCCCCTTCCCCCGGATTGGCCCCTGATGCATGACAGGTCCCTCCTGCTATCGTCGTCTTTGTTATTCGTTGTCGTCTCGTCTTCTCTGCTCCTCTCGCCGTACCCGCTCCTTTTTGTTCGCCGTCGGCCTTTCCCCTTTCTGGGGCTGCCTCCTTCGGTCTTTGGTCCTGCCCACGACGGTGGCTTCTTCTCCCAACAGTGGGCATGGCCAGGAGGCGGTGGCGAACCCATGGCGGCTGCCTGCGCGGTGTGTGGTTGCAAGGAGAACACGTTGCACTACAAGTGGTGCGAGGCCTGCTACTCGCCGCTGGCCAGGGTGGAGGTCGCTGAACCCAAGCCGCCTGGCGGCGTGTGGGCCTCCTCGCCGCTCGCCATGATCGCCCACTCCCCCTTCTCCCCCGCGCTCTTCGGCTACGGCAAAAGAAAGGGAAGAGGGGGTACGGCAAAGGGCTGCCACACGGAGACCGTAAAGGGGACTGGCAAAGGCGGTCTTGGCGGTCCGGGGCAGTCTTTTCCTCCTGGGCCCGTCTCGCAATCTCTCTCTTCCGCCGAGGCGGCTCAGATGGCCGCGCTGCGCGAAGGAGGGTAGGCCCGCCGCGGACATCACTCGCTACAAGCAGTTGGCCCAGGCGGTGCCCAAAGTTGTTCCAGTGGATGACCAGTTGGCACAGGTGCAGCGGGCGCGCGTCCAGCGCGCCAGCAAGCTCCAGGTTGCCATCACCAAGGTGGCCTCGCTGGAGAAGCAGCTCGAAGAGCAGCGGGCTGTGGTCAGCACGCTCAACTCCAAGTTGGACGAGCTTGATAAGAAGTACGAGGACGTGGTCGCCAAGCTTGCCAACGTGGCACAGCGGGGAGGCCCCTGAGAGTCGGCTGCGCCTTCCATATCCCCGGACGCGTTGCTGGCGGTCTCTGTGGACGCTTTCGACGTCGACTTCGGGAGCACTTTCGGCGTGGACGGCTCCACGCTGCTGGTGGAGCAGGATGACATCAACGAGCTTCACGCCAGGCGGGCTGGTCTGGTCGCCGAGCTCCAATCCAAGGCCAAGGAGCTGTCCCAGTCCGCAGCCGACACGGTCAAGGGCGCCAAGGAGGCCCACCGTGTACAGGTCACGCGCTTGTCGAAGAAGAAGCGCAAGACCAACGACGGCCAGGCCTCTGCTGGTGCTGCTGACGCCGCTGCTGCTGGTGGGACGCCAGCATCGGGGAACGCTGGGGCATCGGGGTCCTCTGAGGGCTCTGGAGGCAAGCCCAGGCCCGCGGCTCCAGCGGCCGACTCGGTGGCAGGGGAGGCGTTGCTCGCCTGCGTGCGGAAGGGCGCCGCTCGCGTCGCCAAGGGGGCCGCTCTGGCCGCGGCGGTCACTCGGCAGGGTGGGCCTCTCGTTGTTCTGTTTCGGAACCCCGTCATCACTTTATAGGCGGGAAGGGGGCCGGCTGATCTGGGCAAGAGGGCCAGCAAGTTCTTCAGACTCCCAACGGAGGGAACGCTTCCTTCCGACCCAGCCAACTTCCTTGCAGTGCCTCCTTGCCCTGCATGCGCGTGCCAGTTGGCGGTTGAAACTTTCAATTACACGGCGCGGCCTTCCGTGGAGTCCTGGATCACGACCTCGACATCGCACGTTCTCTTGGTCCAGGAGCATCAGCTCGTTGCCGGTGACGAGATAGCGAGAGCAGGACAATTGGCACTGAAGAGGGGATGGAAAGCTCGACTCGCTCCCGCCTTCAGAATCAGGGAAGGGGGATCGTATGGTGGGGTTGCTATTTTGGTTCGGCAGTACCTTGGATCTCCACGATCCGGATGTTGATGCTGGCGTCGTCCCCCGCAGGGCTCCCAGCGGCGTCGCGTCGGTCCCTGGGGCGCCCCAAGCCTTGTTCACTTCGGTGTGCTTTTACGATTGCGAGGATCTCTCATATCAGGAACCTCAGCATCCTCGCCGAGGTCGGAGCGCGGCGCGGTGAGTATGATGACCCTCGCTGCATCGGGTGCGATTTTAACATGACGCCATATGTTCTGGCCACCTCCTCTGTCCCAGGTTGGCTCAAGGCTAACATCATCTATGCGAAGGAGGGAATATGCACGAGCGCGGGGGGGGGTCAGGACGCTGGACTTCTTCATTCTCTCGGGCGGCCTGCAGGCCGCGGAGCCCGTGCTCGGCACGGGCATCAAGACCCGCGCCCCAGTCCGCCTTCTCTGCCACCCGCAGTCGGCTGAGCTCAAGGCCCCCACTTTCCGCCAGCCCCGCAAGCTGCCCGCGCAGCGCCCTATAGGCCCGCGGCCACAACCTGCCGATGACAGCGCTGTCTTGGATTGCGCTAGTTTTGGCATGGGCTTGATCTCCCGCAAGGCCTCTCGCGGCAAGGTGCAGCGCCACCTGGGCGTTCTGTATTGGATTTGGGCCGTCGCGGCCGAGTGTGAATTATCCATCTGGGGCGCCAGGGGTAGACGACCCCGCCGGGCGTGGACCTCAGCCCTCGACCAGGACCCCGAGGCCTCCTACAGGGACCCCCGGCTAGGTGGCTCTCTCGGGCGACCACGTTTATATTGAAGGCTATGGCCGACAGCAACGTTAGCTCGTTCAACCGATATCGTTTCCATCTTCAGGATCGGACCTCTAGCATCTTGCAGTCGTTGGGTGAGTTCATGGTCAGCAGTGTCTTGAAATAGTTTCTGGGCTTGCGGATTTTCATTGCGTTTCTGGAGGCATTCGAGTTGCAGGCTCTTCTCGAACCTGGATTAGAAGAGTATGTCCGGTCTTCCTCGCAGTGGCCATTGAAAATTTGGCTCAGTTGGCTATTGGATTGAATAATGGACAGGGGCGGCAAAATGGGCGCCGCTGGACCAGGGAGCTGAAGCCGTGGGTTGCTTTGACTACCCCTCTCAGCGGTGGGCGCGGTCTTCGGGCCCCATCTCCCTGCCCCAGGCCGAGGGCGCGCTTTTTGGGAAGCTCTGGAATTCGAAGTCGCATCCTCCCGAGGCCGAAGGGCTTCCAATCGAGTATTTGGAAGGGCTCAGGCCATTTTGTTCCGGGGACCTGATCGATGTGAATATGTCCTCTGCGCCAGGTGCCGCCTCTAGTGTGGATGGCTTACACGTGCGCTATTTCTTTGCAATGCAGCCACGGCCCCTCTCCGCTGCGTGCACCATGTTCCACGTGACGGAGTGCGCCGGGCTCGTGCCTCACCCGGCCCAGGTCATCCTCACTCTGCTCCTTGCGAAGCCCGCAGGAGGGCGTGGGCCCATGGGCCTTTCTCGGCTTTTTAGATTGTGGGCTCGCGCCCGCAGACCCTACGCTCAGCGGTGGGAGGCCAAAGATCAGAGAACGCACATCGCCGCGAGCACTACTCCGCTCTGGACGTCGTCTACCGTCAATCGGTTCAGCATGTGAACGCCGTGGGGAAATGACCATTTGTTTGTGGGTTTGTTTGAGGCCTCCACAATTTCCACGAGTCCATTTGGCTGCCCAAGCTCTTCCACAGGTGCGAGGCCCTTACTAGTTCCGAGCAGATCTACAGGGTTGCTGTCGAGGCCGACCGTGGAGCTGGGTAGTATGCTCCACGGGCCTCGTTTGTGTGTCACGTGGTGGTGGCTGCTTATGCATATGCTACATCATTCGCCAGGGTCTACGTCATCCCCACTATGGGCCCCCTGAGGTTCCCTTACCAAGTCCAGCTAGACATCTACATTGTCCTTTTCGGTCTCTCCAGCAGTGGCTCTGGGCAGTCGGTCGCGTCGTCGTTAGAGCAGGCCTCCACCCCCCTGGCCCTGGCCATGGAGGACGAGATGGAATCCCGTATCTCTCCTGATGAGGCTGCAGTGGTTTCCTTTGCCACATGGGTAGGCTCGCTCTGCAGAAATTCTTAGGCGCCTGCGGCGGTCCAGGAGATCAAGTTCACGCGGCCGTCAATGCACGCGTCGACGACGGAGCTGGGCAGGCCCGTCGCACCAAAGGTCGAGGCAAGCAAGCACCTGCACGATTTTGCATTTTCCGTCAGAGGGTGCAACGAGTGGTCAGGTGCCGACAGGCCTTGGGACGTTTCTCCAGGAGGGTTTTCTGTTCTGGACCGCGGGCCCCCGTGACGCATGGTTCTTCAGTTTCTGGGGCCTCGGATTACGACATGGGACTGCTGCGTGCCAACTTTGGGAAGTCCGCCAAACCCTCTGCTGGATCCAGGTCCCTTACCAGTCCGTTCATTTTGGAGAACGACCCTCTCCACCATGCAGCCATTGCTCCGATTGCCAGGCGTTCCAGGGGGACGCGGGCCGCCCAAGTGCAGCAGACGCCTTTGGCGTTCGGATTTGCCGCTCTCCGCGCTGCCTGGGACAGAGCCTGGGCCAGCCCGCCAGAGTCTTGGAAGCAGGTCAGAGGACCCATGGGCGCCATGTGCCTCTCCCTGTCCCGCATCGGTCGGTCGATGCCTTCTTTCGCGCGGCTGATGCGTGACCCCGGGGCGGCCCACTCTCTCGCCGTCCCCCCCCCCCCCCAGCTCATCAAGATGTTGCTGCGCGAAGGTGTGGCCAGGTCTTTGCGCCGTCTCTCAGGACAGAAGCTCGGACTTCAATGGCGGGCTGTTTCGACTCCGTGATTCGAACCCTGCGGAGTGCGAAATATACGTATTTCGAGAAGGGCTGTATCCGAGCCAACGTTTGCGGGGTGTGCTGGACCCGGGAAAAAGCTGCCTCCTTTGGGTGCCAAATCCAGCAGGTCTGTGGTTTATGTGGTGATCCCTCGGATTCACTTTGGAATCGGATGTGGGTATGTCCAGCGGTCGAGGATCTCAGGAAAGAGATTTGCAACCCAGACGTTTTGCAGACTAGCTGTGAGATCGACCGGGGGGATTTTCGCGCACCCGTCCGACTCCCTCCCCAGGCCTATTTCAGAGGTTCCTCCAGTAGTCCATTGGGAAGCTCCTCGACATGATGAGGCGGATGAGCAGCTTTGCTAATGTGAGATCTTCTTCGACGGGTCCTGTAGGCGCCGCGCCATTAATGAATCGAGCAGGGCAGGGCGCCATAGCTCAGCATTATAGTTACAATACTATCACATGTAGTATGAGGGCCCCCCGTTGGGACAGGTTCCCCCAGACCTCCCAAAGCGGCCGAGTTTGGCAGTCTTGCTTACGGGTCGCTCTGCTTCCTGGGGCCCTCCACCGGGCGCAGCGACTGTCTCAATGCGGTCAAGGCTTTTCTCCATGCGAGAGCCATGCAACTCCCTCATAAAAGGCCCGATGCGGGACTCATGATTACTGCGCTTGGGTCCCGTCTTACCGCCCTTCACAAAGTGAAGGCCCGCGTTGCCGACTCCCCTGATTTAACCCTTGATCGGCGTTTCCTCAACGAGGGGAACGACGAGGTTGACAGGGCTGCCAATCGTGGGGCTGCTCTCCATCCGCGCGGGTCCGAGGCTGAGCTGAGTCACGTTGACTGGCAGCTCAAAGTGGCCCATAACGTCTCTCGTCTCGCCGCCAGGTTTTTACCGTCTTGGCCCAAGCTCGACCTGGACGGGGTCGAAGACGTGGCCCCTGCCGGAGCCGCGGTCCATCCTCTTCCGCTTGCCGAGCAGTGCCATCATGAGTGGATCTGGTGTGCCACGTTCTGGCGTCGCGCTTCCTGCCTCCGCTCTCGTCGCTCGGACCAGAAGCCTAAATGCGCGGGGCGTTCTGGTCAGCCGCCCGAAGCCCACCATTTTGGAGAGGGCACCAGATCACAGCCCTGCAGCGTTCCAATGCCAGCATGCTGTATTTCTCGTTATTTCTCTCTTTTCTCTCTCTCTCTCTCTCTCTTTGTCCCTCACGCTCTCTCTCTCTCTCTCTCTTTCTCCCTCTCTCTCTCTATATATATATATATACTCCTGTCATTCTCCATACTATGTAGTCCTGCTCGCTCCTAAGCGCTTGCCTGATTTGTCCTCCTTGGTGAGCCAGTGAGAGAGAGAGAGGTGGAACTGGAGAGGAGGAGCACACATGACATGAATGCCACCATCTGCGATTGAATTCGCCACGTTGGGCAGGTATTTTGACACCATCCGGACGTTTGGGGATGACGCCCTTGTGCACCAAGGGAAGGTGCAAGCGATTCTATCACAGCGGATGTGTCAGCACGTCTTGTTGTATTCATTTTGGCGAATGCAGGGAGCGCTGTGTGTGACATTCGTTTGGCGATCGGCAGCTAACGTGTTGGTTCGAGCAGGAAGCAACGCTTGAAGGCCAGTGATGAGGAGTGTGTTGGTTTTGCACGTTTCCCGCCACAAGCGATGGGTCACGAAGCGAGGAATACAAAGTTTGAGATGCGTGCGATGTTTTCCCTACTTGCTCACGCCACTTTCTGATGTAACCGTGTCACAGCTTTCATCATTAATTGCAGTCATCAGGGTTGTGCGAAGCTGGTCGATAGGTGAATGCGAATCACGAGTTGTGATCGCGTTCTGGAGGTGCGCGGCTTTTAGGATGTCGCAGGTCCCTGGATGAGTTCTCTGGTGCGCCACATGTACTGGAAAGGCGGTGCGGTCAGTTCGCCGACCCTGAGAAGACAACATTCTGGGCCCAAGGGGAAAGGGGACGGGGGCCAGCGTCTAACCGATCCCCATCCCCATCCCTACCCCCTTCGAGGCCCCCACCGAATTACCCCCGCAGTTGGGGATACACTCCTCGAAACCGGAAGGGAACGGCCCATATCCCCATCTAGCGGGGTAAGTCGGTCAGTGGGGCCCAGGCCACGCCGCTGGGGATGGGGATCGGTTAAACGATACTCAAATGCGAGGGCGAATGCAGAATGGTCTTCGGCCCATCCCGCCACTTCGTTTGGGTCTTGTTCCAGATGCCTCGGGTAAGTTGTTGGGGCTCTTGGGCTCCAGGGCAGGGGCCTCGGTGGCGCATTTTGATGCGTCGTGGGGCCTCTTGGGGGCTCCCTGAGGGTCTTGGGATCATGTTGGACGGGTTGGCTTCCAGCAGTGCGACAGCGGCGCACTTGTCAAGCCCCTCTGAGGTCCATGCTGGGGGCATATTGGGCCCCTCCTGGGGGCTCTTTGAGCGTTGATTCGGGGTTTCTTGAACTGTTTCAGATGCTCTTGCGCCCGAGGTGGCGGGAGAGTTGAATCCATGTAATGATCACAAACCAACAACGTATGGGATTCAGCCAATTTGGGCCTCGTCGGCCAGCCACGCCTCCAAGATGGCCCGAGAGACTCCCACGAGCGCAAAAGGCTGTCAAGGTTGGCCCCGACAGGGGCTTAGTGTGGGCCTAGGTGGCCAAGTGATGTCCAAGCTGGGCCCAGGAACACCCGAGTCACTCCGGTGAGGCGGAGAGAGCAGGGCTAACCCACCCGGGACCCCCCTAGCCCCCTCAGGACCAGCTCTCAGGACCACCCCCCTTGGCGGAGAAGTGGTCGCAGGGAAGGTGCTCCCAATGGGCCGACCGACTCATTTCGGATTGGCGAGCTCGGAGTGCCCCAGGTGGCCGCAGGCAAAGCGGGCAGAGTTTCGAATGGAGAAGCGTCTCCCAGGATCTCCGTGGGGCGAACACCGGAGGACTCCCCTCGCACACGCCGACAGGGTGGGCGAATTTCATGGTGCCGAGGAGCCGGAGGCGGGTGCAAGAGAATGAGAGACGAGAGGCTGGAGTCGGATCGAGAGGCTCATGCCGCTCTGGCAAGGCGCCCGCCAAGACTCCGCTGTTTTTCCACTCTTTGCTGGGGGACAACTTCACCTCCGACGCCATCGCTCCGGGAGGCGTTCTGGCGTGCTCTTCTTTGTTCATACATGTTTTCGTCTTCCATTTTCTTTGGCTTTCAAGTTTGGATTCGACCACCGCTTCGATGAGCGTGCTATCCATCCACATATCCATATCCGCTTGTTGCATCAGTGTTGAATCAGACCAGTCAGACTCCATCGCAGGTTGTGGTTCCCGATCTCATCTCGACCGTCCAGTTTGTTTGTGGATGGACCACTGATCATCTGACGGGCGGCTCGGCGCACAGCCACTACGGTCAGTTCGTTGAACTACAGCGGCAGCGGCGACGACGACGACGCTGATGCTCTGGAGCCTTTCTTGGGGCTCTCTTGGGCCAGCCTGGTGGGTGCCTCTTGGGCTCTGTTGGGGCTGGGGCCGCGGCTGGGGCCAGGGCAAGGGCCATGGCCGGGGCCGAGGCTGGGGCTGGGGCCACGGCCGGGGCTGGGGCCGGGGGCCAGGGGCCAGGGCCGGGGCCGGGGCGCCGGGGCCGGGACCCGGGCTGCAGCCCCCCATGGCCATGTCCGGGTCCAGGGCTGGGGCCGGAGGGGGGGCTGGGGCCGGGGCCGGAGCGGGGGTCGGGGCGCGGGGGGAAAGCGCATTTGGGAGGCGCCCCCCCCCCC